GTCATAAATTGGTATCTTTTGAGCAATAGTACTCTCAGATTGATCAATATCTTACAAGTTGCACAATATATTTCAAAACATTTTTTATTGACACAATATCAAGGTTGCCACAGACCTAGAAAATCGGGAAAAGTCAGGGAAACTGAAATTGGTCATGGAAAACTGGGAAAAGTCAGGCGAAAATGTAAAAAAAGTCTGAAATTTCGAAAATTGTTTACAATTTCCTTAAACTGCTCCTATCCCAAACAATTGTTATAATTTTTTAAATATTATATCTGAATTAACATTTATAGTCAAATACATTCAAAATTTGTGCACCTTAAACGATTTTAATAAAATAATTAAAATTTATATTTTATTCAGTATTTTTATTTGATCCCTTTTTTTCGTCATAACTGTATTTTTTTTCCAAAACTAATTTATTTTTTGCTGGCTTAAATTTGCACCTAAAATTTTACTATGTTACTAACATTTTGCGTTGTTTTTAATAATATAGACTAGCTTTCCTACAATCCTTGAGTCTAAATGTTAAAATTTACATATTTTATATTAGTCATGGAAAATTTTCCATTTTCATCTGGAAAACCTGGAAAAGTCAGAGAATTTTTTAATTTATTTTCTGTGGCAATCCTGATTATATACTGTAAAAAATCCTTAATATTGTCTCCAGACAATTAATAATATTATGCAATATTAAATATTGTTTAATAATATTGATCATCTAGGAGTCGCTTAAAATGTTTGATCATATTGTTACTTAAATAATAGAAAATTAGAATTGGAGAACATAAAACTTATTAGTTAGACCAGGTGTCCCAAGACTTATTGCAACAACTGTTAATAACAAATTCTTGAGATAATTTATCATTTTGAAAAATTCGAAAATTCTAATATCAAAATGTCAAAGCTACAGTAGTTTTTAAATGAGAAGGGTTTTATATTAACCAATTTCTTTTGGTCTATCCAAAATACGCACATTCTGGCATGATATATTATATAATAGTGTAAGATATTTTCAAGCATCAATTCTATGCTCTTTTATTCTTCTAAACACCTTCACTATTATACAATATGTCATTACTGAACATACGAATTTCGCATAAATTTCAGACACAGTTCCAATTAGCTAATTTTAAAAATCCTTCTCATTTAAAAACCACTGTAAAGCCATCTCAATATTTTGGTATTAGAATTTACAACTTTCTAAAATGATCTCAAGAATCTAAAATTAACGAATGTTACAGTAAGTCTGGGATATATCTTGTACATTTTTGTTTATAATTACCTACTAATTCTTCTAGACCAGGTAAATCAAGAAGTGTGAGTGGTACATTACTTAATCTGCTAAAGGTCGAAGAGTAATTAAAAAGATTAAGCGCTTCTTCATGGACAAGTATAGGATTATTCCTAGGGGATTCTTCATGAAGTAAGCCCCATGATATGGCACTGCTCCTCCAATTGGGCAAATCATGAATACGGAGATTACTTCCGTAAAACAGAATACTCTATAAAAGTCAGTAATGTGTGCAAGATATGGAAATTGATTGAAAGAAATAGAAATGTAAAGGGATCATACTTTTAAGTTCACATCATTCTCAAATGTTCTATTATGTGTAAAGTAACATCTGGCATTCCCGCAGGTTTTTACTCGATTATTATTACCGAATGGCGTCCACCATAGTATGACAGGTACGTCGTCATCTGGGTACAAAAAATCGAGATATGTCAATCTTTGTGGAGAAGCATCGATATGGCATATTAATAAATTACCTGAGAAAGACAATCTTTTGCGATCGCGGAGTATTAAACATAACTAAAAATTATGAAAATGAATTAGTGGAAGCACGGAAATGCGCGGACGTCAATTTGATTGATATCAATTTTATTACATATACCTGAAATATCACGAGACATACACTCAGTGCTGTCACAATTATAAACATAACGCGTATTTTCCGCGGCATTATAGTTTCAAACGCATATTTATAAAGAATAAAAAAGATCTCATCTTTTTAAAACCAATTTCCAAATGACTAGCGAGACATAACCAAGAAGCAAAGTGTCAAACGTGTCTCCCTCTCCTTCTCTCTGTCTCTTCTCCCCTCCCCACCCCCCTTAGTAGCATTGCGGAATCAGAACTGAGAAACCTGAGAGAGGACATGACGGTCTAAAACTTGTAACCGCAAAACGCTGCCGCGCACTACCGCTCTCTGAAGAAGTGGATGTTAACTACACAATGGATGTTTTCCGCTCTCAAAAAGAGACTGCGTTAGCAATATAGTAGTATTACATATATGAGTATTCTGCATATTTTGTGGTTGACAGATTTCCTAACCTGAATAAATAATTTTGACTTAAAATATTTCGGTTTACGGAGCAGAGTAACACTTTTTTCTTGTCAAATCTTTATTTTTACGCGAAAACTCATCGATTCAGTGCATTTTTATCAAAATTTGAGGTGGAAGAGCTCTTAATATTTACCGAAGAAAATATAAGTTTTTTCTTGGAAGATGAACTTAATTTACTGATACGAAAGCATATGAAACTTGTTCTCTATTTGTATCACTGAACTTTTATTGATTCGAGTATAATATTTATTAGCAAAATGAATATTCTAAAAGCAGAAATAATGAAGAAACGTAAAGAGCTAGAAGAAAGTCACGTCTTAGTACGTCACATGTGTGATATGTAGTTTGTGATTTATAGTGTTCCATAATTGTACATTATAATACTTGTTCGTATCAATGTCTCTTTTAGGAAAATAATAAGAAGTACTTCAAGAGGAGTCAGTTGATATCGAAGCAACAGGAAGTGTATGAAACTGATAAGGGGAACAATGAAGCTATTCTGTTAAATGTCAGTCAGCAGTCAGAAGAACATGTAACAGACAGTAGCTCCGAACATTTATTGTCCAGGCAAGAAGTGATTAGACGATTACGCGAACGGGGAGAGCCCATATTATTGTTCAGTGAATCTGAGGTAGAAGCGTTCAAAAGATTAAGGAAATGTGAAATCCTTGAGCCAGAAGTGAATAAGGTAAAATGTCTGTTATACTGTTATATATATTACTTCTGTTCAATTAAAAAACAGCTTAAAATTAAAATTTTGATTGTAATAATTCATCAACAGGGCTTCAGAAATGATTTTCAAGAAGCTATGGAACAAGTGGATCAAGCATATCTCAATGAGATTTTAACATCTTCCAAATCCCAAAATCTTGATGGAAAAGGAGATGTAAATGTACCTGACGAGAGCGTTACTTATGAAGACATAGAAAAGATGTCAACTAAACTGAATAAAGGAGACAAGGACTTTGATATGAATGTTATCACTCTGTTTGTACAATATCTAGTTCAAATATGGGGTAATCAATTAAACAGCCGGTCAACTGCCGAAAAAATGAGCACAAAAGGAAAGATGAATAGCGCCACGTATGCTCAAACGAGAGAATATTTAAAACCGCTTCTAAGAAAATTGAACAACAAATCTCTTCCAGAGGATATTACTGACAGTTTAACAGAAATTGTTAAACATTTGCTACAGCGTAATTATATATTGGTACATATATGATACATTACATATAAAATAAATATCCTGCCAATGTAATAAATATGATAATGGCAAATATTTGTATCTATGACAAAATCAAATTTTTGTTTCAGGCTAGCGACGCCTATTTGCAAATGGCAATAGGCAACTCTCCATGGCCTATTGGTGTAACTATGGTTGGTATTCATGCTCGTACTGGTAGAGAAAAAATCTTCTCTAAAAATGTTGCTCATGTCATGAACGATGAAACTCAGAGGAAGTACATTCAAGCACTCAAAAGATTGATGACTAAATGCCAGGAATACTATCCTACAGATCCTTCACGATGTGTAGAGTATTCAAAAGATTAGATTTTTATCATAAAGTATATGTTTTTAAAATAAAGTGGAGCGTTATAATTTAAGCTTACATGTAGATATGTGTGGACATCGTATTATTAGAAATATCGAATAGCTTATTACAGACATTTTTTACAAAATTTTAGTACTAGTTCATAAGATTTTTTTTAGATAGAGCAAAATGCAATATTTTTTGTGTGCGTGCGTATGTATGTGTTAATAAATGCAAATTTTGTCTTCGTGAATTTTAGTATTAATTACAATGAGTATACAATAAATAAATTATATAGATGTCCTAAAATTTACGACAAAATATTGTAGCATGATAGTTCTCATAAAATTAAGTAAGGTTATTCGTAAATTTTTATTTCTTTTTTAAGAATGTATCAGTTTTACAAGTGTGTTAATATTTTTACTTGAACAAATTATATATACAGAGTGTCCCATTTTAACTTTGACACTGAAAAATCTTTAAAATTATAAAAGATACGGAAAAATGTTTTGGACGAAAGTTGTAAAGTTTAAAAAGATCTATTCATTGATCACATCCGTTTGACCTTGGGTGGCGTCACCAAAGTCGGGTCAAGATCAAATTAGATTATTATTCGTGTGCGTACATTAATTCGCTCTAAAGCGTGCGCGGAAAATTGTCGTTAAAAAGTTACAAAATAGGTCTTACAGCCAGTGGAATTCTGTTACTCGTTATGAAGTCGTTATGAGCTCATAACGACAGTTGCGCAACTTTTTGACTGTAAAATATCTGCGCACTTGTCGTTAATAGCACATGACGATTGCATAACTAATTATAGAATTATCATTAATTATTCTAAATGTCGCGCCACATCCTGACTAGCATTTGATTGGCTGATATAAGAACATATGCAGTTCACAGGTCGACATGGTGCGGCAGCACTGTCAACATCGTTTGATGCTTACAGTTGAAACCGTTCAAACTACAAAATTTTAACCGTTGGAATAACACTGACCGAGCCTGTGGACAGATCTATCGTTCCAATTGCTTATTTTAGCAGCACGTGAAATTATACCTTTTTAAAAGTTATAGAATAGGCCTACTGGTGTATATACGCAAGAAACACGTGGCAATTGTTTACTGCTTCGGCGTATAATTATTTATTTAATATTTAATACATAAATCGTAATCGTGATCAACTATAATGGAACAGCATCTAAAATCCATCAAAGTCGGATTTATCGGAGGCGGAAATATGGCTAGTGCTATAGGCGCTGGCTTAATTCGCAGAGGTAAACGTACTTGCTCATCACTCTGATATCCATCACTAATATCGGTAATTATTTAGAATAGCATACCCCACCTAAAATCTTAATGAAAATACCCTCATCCGACGCGTTTTCACTCAAAAGAATCTAGCAAAATTCTAAAAATAAAAAAAATTACGAGCGAATTAAATTGAGATTAAAATTAATAGACGTAGAAATGAATATGAGAGTAAGGTAAATTATATAGAAGAAACACTAAATATTTTTCTTTCTAAATATTTATCTCTGCAACAGGTATATTAAATCCAGATAATGTCTGGGTTTCTAGTCGTACGGACAGAACACATGGATTTTGGAAGGATCTAGGGGCTCATGCAACATTGAAAAACAATGAAGTTGTGAAAAACTGTGACATAGTGTTCCTAACAGTAAAACCACATATGCTGGATGATGCGCTTGAGACTATTGTAGAGAGAAAAGCGGGTGAAAAATTTGAGACCAAGCTCTTTATTTCAGTACTTGCTGGAGTATCTCTTGATGTCTTGTATATTGTAAGTAAAGTGGATATTATGTAACATATAATGTTTCAATTTTTATGATAACTTATACGAAATGTTTTTAGAAACTCTCTGCATTTGTGATTTCACCAAGAATAATTAGATCCATACCAAATACACCTATGATGATTGGAGAAGGAATTACAGGTACATTAAAAAATTGCAGTATGACATAAATTAGATAATGTGATAATGTAAGGTGTGATTTTTAGTTTATTGCAGTAACAACGCTGAAATAAAAGATTTGGAACTGGTGGAAATGTTATTTTCTCATATCGGCATGAGCCAAATTGTTCCAGAAAGTCTTATGAACAGCATTGGTGGTTTGTCAGGTAGTGGCCCAGCATTTGTAAGTTGTTGTAGTGATTGTTATAATTAAAGAAATAGAAATAGTTGCATATTATTATTTCACTACATTTTTACTTAGGCATATCTCATCATAGAAGCATTAGCAGATGGAGCTGTGAAAATGGGGGTGCCAAGACCAATGGCAACTAAATTTGCAGCGCAAGTGCTAGTAGGAGCTGGAAAAATGGTTCTCGAAACTGGGCGACATCCTGGCCAGTTGAAGGATGAAGTCTGTTCTTCTGGAGGTACCACTATTACTGGCATTCACGCAATGGAAAAAGGAGGAGTTAGGTACTTCAAAAGATATTTTATATATCTCATTGTTAAACATACATAAAGTATAAATGAGTAAATGTTAAACGTCATTATTGGATGGATAGGGATGTGTGCGTGTGTGTGTGGATGTACATACATACATATAGAATGTCTGGTAAAAATCATATCACTTCTAATCGCAGGCAAGTAGAGCAAGTTTTAAATAGAAAAATTTTTTACCGTTAAAAAATTGTTCTCAACAATTAATGATAGAACCATGGTTGATATGATTGTTACGATCATGTAATTTAATTTCTAAATAATCATGAGATTTATCTTAATAATTGAATACAGGGGATCTATGATGAATGCTGTCGAGGCTGCTGTGAATAAAACAAATGAACTAACTTCTCGATTAAAATAATTCCCTTTAAGTTAATATTTTGACGTATGTATATTAAATAAGCTGTTGATGATATTGTTTATTCAAGTTACAATTTATATTCACCTAATACTTAAAGACTATATTCATATGATGTATACAGATGCATGTATAAGGCTAGTAGAGCGATTTATGGCCTTGATATATTTGAGATTACTAGTCAATGGATGTCGCAGTTGGACTGGCGTTCGTGAGCATCCCTGTTGTACATGATTGGCTGATGAAAAGTGAAAATTTTAACCATTTAAGAAGAAAGTATAGTACTTATAGTATGTACTTAATAATATATACATTATACGTACATACATTATTAGACTCGATACATAGAGTCCTAGGACTCTAATTATACGCAGTAATGAATTAAAATGGCGCTTTGATCATGTTATTTAGATAGCCAATCAGACCATACCCTTCAATGTCGCATCTCTGTTATCTAGTCCTCTAGTGCCGGTAACGGACAATTGGAACGCAGCTTGTGTTGCTGTGTGCACGAAAGTGTCTAGGGAGGAGTGATCCCGATTGATCACGGCTCGATTGGACAACACCAATCACAGCGACCAGGTGCCTAGGAGCTTTGTAGTCTCAAGCGCTGTGAGTGGCTCGTGTCCAACTGGGTGCCACTCGTCTAGGGATATTGCAATTGGAAAGCACCCAATGGTTAAGTGCCGCTTTCACCAAGAGGATCCCGTTTGCCTACAATCCCGATTGCACACACCACTCATATCAGCTGGTGTCTAGTAATTTTTCACTACTTTACCAATGAGAATATTTTATTTTTAAGGGCCACTTTCACCATCGTCGGTTAACATAACCAGTCTAGTAACTGTAATGAAATAGAAAGAGATAGAACTATTTCTATCTCTTTCTATTACATTACAGTTACTAGGCTGGTTAAGTTAACTGAGCTTGGTGAAAGTGGCCCTTAATAGTAAATGCATTAATATTTATGCGATTGGTCAACTTCGATGGACCAACCGGCCTAGTTAAATTAATTGAGCTTGGTGTAAGTGGCCCTAAAATTTTCATTTTTCACTTTCCCTCCTAGGGATAAAGTTTCACGATTGATACCCCAGACGTGTTCGTGTAGGAAAATCTCAAAAAGTTGGAAACCCTGCGTGTCACCTAACCTAATCAGTTCTGTCACAGATCGGTGTAAATAAAGACCTATGAAATATTTAGTTTGCACCAATTTGATACGCGTAATAACCGATTTAACGGTGTAAAAAGATTCATGGAATGCACGACGCCGATTATGCGGGATTATGCGCAATGAATAATGGCGCGATTAAGGTGAATTGTGAGAAGCATGGGATCACAAATCTCTTTTCCCACGATGAGCAACTGCTTCAGGAGCGTGCTGAGGAGGTTGCGAAGAAATCGCGCCTCGGAAAAGTACGTATTGTAGAGAGGAAAGGAATATCTCTTTATTTACATTTTTCTTTATGATTTCAGGACCATTGTTCTGCTTATTGTGGGATTGGATAATTCTGGAAAGTCTACGATACTAAATCACATTAGTGGCGGTAAATTTTTTAAGAGTTAAAAATATTGTAATGCCAAACGAAAGTCTCTGGGAAGCTTACCGATATATCACATTGGTTTTTTTCTGCATAAGGCTACACATTCAAATAAACTTGTCAAGTATGCACGTATAATCTGTTTGTACAAGTTTATTGGAGTATGTGTGTGTCAAACTACACAATTATCGCAAATCAGCACACATGTTTCAATAAACTTGAACAAGTATCCTTGATAACTTGACAAGTTACTTAAATGTATGTGGCTAGTCTAATTTTAATACTTTTACTATAGATCCAGATCAGAATGTATTGCCCACAATGGGATTCCGAATGGTATCTTTAAAACATAAGTCATATTCTGTAAAAATATATGATCTCGGAGGTAGCTCCCAAATTAGAGCATTATGGCCTAAATATTACAATGATGTAAGTGACTCTTGTGTAGGTTTTTCAAACAAATAATAATACGTAATAGTTATAAATAAACGTTTACGATAAAAATATTAGACAATAAGTTGTTACAGAGATTGGACAAAACAAAGTGAATACCTAAGAAATATACTTTTTAATTATTATTAATAATACAAGATTGGCTGTCCTCCCTCTATCTCTCCCCCCCCCCCCCCCCTCCTCATTTGCCTTTCATATGAATTGTATCCTTGTTAGAATAGAGTGGCAATGCTTGAATAATTATTAATCAAATGTTTTAAATTTTAATCTGTATTAAAAATCAATCTCTTATAAAACAAATAGTGTATTACACAAGTGTTTAAATTATTTTATCTATTCGCTATATATCTGTACTAAGACAAACAGAAGCTTTGTTTTAATTATCTTTTAGATACATGGTCTTATATACGTGGTGGACGCTAGTGATATTTCCCGTCTTGCAGAGAATAAAGTCGTATTTAATGAATTAATCACACACGAGCATATTTCAACGAAACCAATATTGTTGTAAGGGATCTGAAGTTATGTCTCTGCACACATTTTTGCTTGCGCACATACGAAAAGGAAATTAGGCCATTTGTGTGCATATAATAATCAAGGATGTTAATAAATCGTGTAGTATCATTGATGCAAATTTCATCCAGATTTTCGTAATGTATGCATAGACTCGCCAACAAACAAGACCTGAATGGAGCTATCGATGAGTTGGATGTAGTTGAAAACCTTGATGTAGAGCGTGCGGCTAATGCTATGAGATGTCCAACAAGAGTGGAAACATGTTCGTGCATTTATAGCAAAGAGCAATCCAAGAATAGTACTATGGGCATAAAGGATGGATATAAGTAAGCTTAGAATTATATTTAATTACGCTTAAGAAGATTTTTTTTTTAGATTCATGCGCAAAATAAAAGAGTTTAATGGCATACACTTTCATATTGATAATCAGAATTCATTTTCTGACAGATGGTTGTTGGACATCATAGTGAAGAATTACGCTGTTCTGAACAGTAGAGTCAAACAGTCACAAAACTGTCAATATAAAAATATTCAACGCGCACAATCTATCGCGTCAAATACACCATCGAAAATATCTATACACTCTAATCCATTTAAACCCATTAAAGATCTCTTGGCAGCAAAGGTACACAATATTAATTACATAGCCTTTATGTTCATTACCTTAGAAATGTAACGAAAAATCTTCCAATCTTATGATTTGTTACTAATATATTTTTTTTAATTCCAGGATGAAGTTTTAATAAGTGAATCATGCAATGGTACGTACCTGTGTTAATTATATAATAATTACAAGTATATATAACATTCAAAATTAACATATGGATTAGAGAGCCAAGCTGGATGTTTAACATACTTCATGTTTAACAGTATTTATTATAAGCAGATATATGGGTTCGCTTTTGTTAATTATTGCGGACCTTGTAATGCGAGATTTAGAGATCTTTACATTAGAATTATTATCTTTCTTTTTACGTAAAAAATATCGATGACATTCTGGTTTATGATCTTAAAGATAAATTGGATACCATTCTAAATACTCTTTAAATTCTTTACATTACAGTTTATCATGAAAATTGAGAAGTACAATAGTATTTTTGAATGTTTTTTTTTCGACACACCGTTACTTTGTACATATATCGAAATTTAAAGAAGCAGTGAAAGCCCGTGTTACTGAACAATGAGCAATTTGGCCGTCATTTTAGTTGCGTAATCGAGGTCATTTCATTTTTTGAAAAATGTGAATTGCGTGTGTACTAATATGAAGTTTTTATATTTTTTTTTATCTTTTAACTAAACTTTAAAATGCGTGCGTGTTGGTTAATTTATGGTTCAATAGTATTTAAAATTTTTTATTATAACATTGCATTAAGGATAACCTGTTGTTAAAGAGTAAAATATACGTTTATATATGTGAGATATTAAATTATTTATGTTAACATAAACAGCTTGGCTCTCTAGCCCTTATTCGGTTAATTTTGAATTTCTATTCTTAAGAGCCTTGCACACACACACACACACACACATACTGGAATAAAATATTTAACATGCCAAATTAATATGAAATATTTGTAGGTATCAATGAAGGAAGAAGCATTATAAAAGTTTTTGCACGAAAAAATAAGACTGCCCCTCTTCCAGTTGAACAATCAACTACTGAATACGAAAGTCTTTCACGAAATCTTACACCCAATGTAGAAATTCTTGCTGGAGAGAAAAGTACACAAACAATAAGTATGACTACAATATTAGATCCGTTGAATTTAAGTATTGATCATACTGAAAGTTATGCAAGTACAAAACTAATCCGTCCGTATACAGCACCAGAAAGATCACAACGATTATCAAATGATATAACGATAATTAACATTCCTGGTCAGGTGCTTCAACAGTAGCATCTGTAAATTTTATATTTACTAATAGCGTTTTCCTTTAAGATACTATGCCTTGCATCGTATTAGTTGCGTGTAAGCGCTACACTGTACTGGAGTGGTGCACACCATAGTGTATACTACTTCATTATTGCGCTAAAATCCTGTTCCCGGTTGACTTCCATTTTCAAATTTTAAATGTCACTGACTCTATACCATCCCTTTGAGACGGTACAGCAAAATCCCACTTCGTGCATAAAATTTATACTACACCGTAATTGCGGAAACACAGTACACCGAATAAGCTTACCACCAACCATGGAAACACAGTACACTGCTGAGTGTTACATTGGTGGACGATAGTACAATCAAGAGAAAACGCTATAAGTTAAAGAAGTCTTTTTATAAGTAAAAAAACTCTATACACACACACACACACACACACACACACACACACACACACACACACACACACACACACACACACACATACACATATATATATATATAAATGAAAAACTGTAAATGGCTGTAAAAATATGAGTTATATTTTAAGGGGAAAACCATTATAGTTTTTAGATAAGTAAATAATATTTTAAACATTGCTAGTTTCAAACTAGCATTGCCTACTCTTACATACACGTTTGAAAGTTGTATCTTTTATACGAAAATGATTTATACCGTTAAATTTCAATTTTCAAACTTGGAGAAAACGGGGAAAGTAATTTTAGTTTTATAAGCATTAATATTATTGTGTTTTGGAAATTTATAATATACATGTATATAATATAAATGGATTATTCAACTACAGTGTTATTATTTGTTTATTACTTGGAAAAACCTGGAATTCTTAGGAAATGTCTTCTTTAATTATCATTAAAAATTAAACATTTCCATGAATTTTTATCAGTACTCAGGACAATTTTAGAATTTTAATTACAATGAAATAAGTTTACAGGGTATTAAAGAGCCAACCGCAGAACTTGTTGCGTAAAATTATTTTATATGTCTAAATAATAATTACATGAGTTTGATATTCAAACCTATTCATTTAAATTCGAAAACTTGATATGTTCCGAACGTATTTTC